TTTGTTTGTTATACTTTTAAAAATTGTTACATAAATTTACTCTAAAAAGAATAACCTTTCTACTGTTTTCATACGTCAAATAGTCAAATAAATAGCTGTTTGACCATGGACCGAGATGTTGGACCTTTCGATGAGATATTGCACCGTTTACGTCAAAGTTTGGGCGGGGTCAGATGTCAGAACTTTACGGAATTGACAGTTTTCAATGCAGTGAGGGTTAACAAAAATTTCATCATGATAATATCATAATAAACAGTAAAATGTATAACAAAACATTTATCGACTGTGTTCTCTAGATCTGGCAAAACGTGTTTTGTCGACCCCTTGAACAAAACTATTTGCCTTCGGCCTAATCGTCTCGTGCAAACAGTTTGGTTCTTGAGTCCGACAAAACGCATGTTGCCCTCGAACCCTGTCTTTGAATGTATAATGCTGGTTGCCTCAGACTGATTCTGGTACAACAGCCCGCCATGCTATGTGTTCACGAAACTGCGAAAGGGGGAGGGGTAAAGGGGGCAACATGTTCTGAGGAACTGTATATAGCTGGGGCAAGGTAAGGGAGGGTATCATGATAATGAAATGTATACATTGGAGAAATATTTTCGTATTTCTTCTTTTCAAAGTTTTTGGTTAATTATTTTTACATTGACACTTCTCATTTTATTTATCATAGACATACATTTCCAGCGCTTTAGGTAATATGCAATCCAGTCCCATCTTCAGGTTTCATTCTGTACATTTACCTATGTGAATTAATCTCATATTATCCAAAATATTCTAAATTAACATACTAAATCGTTTGTGTCTGAAGATGTGTTACTACATATTATAAATAAATAATAAATTGTGAACCTAATCGTGAGAATATACCAGTTAAATTTAACCCCCTTTCCAAAGAAAACGTCAAGGGACGTGAAGACGCGTCAGAGATCTGCCTTTTTCTAATTAAAAAAATGGTTGATATTATCAAGAAAGTTTTCATATTATAAATCTGGTAGATTTTATTTTAAGGAGATCTAGGCTTTCATATTCGAAGTGAGGGTTCTGAATTCGTGAATTGAATTTTTGTGATATACATGTACGAAAATTACATACTAAGGGGGAGGGTCCTGTCCCCAAGCACATGTGCTCCGATGATACCGGGTATATAATCCAATTGTTCATGTAATCTAAATTGCTGATTGTTTTTTGGAACAGATAAAGCCACAGAAAAAAATCTCTTTTCGTAACTTCAGATTATAAAGTAAATAACCAAACATAGATTTATAGATATCTACGAGTAAATAAAAAGGTATTGGCAGTATAAAAGAGATGAAAACAACACCAAGTATATGCATTTGACTTTATTTTGCGACTCCCCCTGCGATGTGCTTTCCCATAAACGACTCCCCCCTACGTAACCGTTACAGTCTGAAGAGAAAATGTCTTAATTATTATTTTTTATAAAGTCTAGTCAAGTTTATGTTGTTGCATTTGAAAGATAAACGTTTTCTCTCGCTGTTTTAAATGTGAGAATCCCTACACAAGCCGTAGATTGTGCAAATCATGCATGTTTTTACCACCCGATCAACGTAAATATGAAAACTGTCAAATAGTTTCGAAGTGTTTGAGAGAACTAGACGTATATGATAGCCGGACAAATGACCACGATAAAGCTTAACTATTGCCATCTTCCGTGGGATATTTGTTTTTTGTAAATACATCTTATATATACCGAAAAAAGACGCGACCCACATCTCCTCTGACTCCGAAGCGGTGAAAATCTACTCCCCCATACGTTGAAAACGACTCCCCCATACTTTTTAGCGACTCCCCCGCGTTACCCGTTGTATACGGTGTTATATGCAGAAAACACGTATGATGTAAATATTGTAGATTGGCAAATAATCCCGATGGTTTTAATTTCGCTATGTTCACGATTTATCATTTTCCCCCTAAATTACCCCATTATGAATGTCATTATAAGTTTGTGCACGAGATTTGCTGCATACAAAGCCTCCATAGCTCCTGACTCCTTTCTTAGAGAAATTTACATTCCGGTAGAATATCAAGAAATCACATCAACTAACTTTCATAGAGTTATCACAGCTGAGAAAAGAAATTAAAATGGAACTAGTTCGTTTTCAATTCTGACAGCTGTAGAATTGTGCTTTAAATAAAACATTTTCTAACTTTCAGAAGCTACAAAACCTCAAAATACAAAGTAGATTCCGACATTTTGTCATTGACGTTAAAAGAAGATGTTCCGAAAATAGCACTCAACCCATCACTTCAGCTGAAATTATTTAAAAAAAAAAGAAGAAGTTAGTAACATTCTAATTATATATGATAGAAGATGATGATTTCTTCACAGAAATTAAAGTGAATTCAGTTAATTTGACTTTCCTTGTTTATTTTTCATAGAATTTCAATGATTTCATCAGTGAATGTGCATTTTGGGACTTTGATAGCAAGTAGGTATAAAATATTTTTGAAAGTTTACTTTTGTTTTAATTCGTCAAGAAACGCGCTCACAATAATCACAAAAAGTTTTTATTATTGTTTCTAATTCACGATTGTTAAGGTAATAACTAAAAGCTCATCACGAAGGAATTACAAAAACAATACCTTGTGAAAAATTTGTGAATTTCGTAAACAGAATCTGAAATCTGTTTACGAAGTATTTGTATATAGTAGTACATACTTCCCTGATTAAATCACATGAGACAGGCTTAACATTTCAAAATTTAAAGAAATCAAATATTTCAGAAAAAAAAACTTGGCTATTGTTATTTCTAAATATAGTAATTTTGACTTTGTTTTTGCAGATAAAACTACAAAAAAATTATTTGATGAAGAAATTAAAATTTCTATCTATTTAATTGCATTATTTCCATTCCTTGTGGACTATTTTTTTTAACAAGTATTAAATTCATTTGAAATGCATTGTCGTGTGATCAACTGTAGAAATGTGCATATACGCCGTCGAGTTGAAGGCAACAGCAAGTGGATAGATTCCACTTCATATGAATCCCAAAATAGGTCTTGTAATTATTGGGCACAATTGGTACCCATGGGCATTCCAATATATTGCTTAAAAATCTGGTCTCTTAAAACAACATAGACATTGTCAAACAGAAACTCAAGCATCTTTTTGATATCAACTCCAGAGTACATCAGAATGTTTTTGTAACAAAATAATTTTGCAAATGATCAACGATAACGTAAGTATATGTACGAGTTCCATTTTTATTGAAAACGCATTCTTCATTATATAAAATTGCCTGGACGTATAATGTTGTATTATCGTGAGGAAAGGTGATATATAATGTAGCACATGCTAAAAATGCAATAAACTTTTTATAGAATCGTTTTTAAACATTGAAAATCTCAAAAGACTTATAAAGTTCATATTTATTTTGTTTGTTTTAATATTCATGATTAAAAATTGCACAAAAAATGACAGAACTTTGGTACTCAATTAAATTTTCTTTGAAGTTAAAATTCATTTAAAAACTTTTTAATGCGAAAAGGAAGCGCTCCTATTTTTATTGACTTTTAAAACGAATTTCTCTAAGGGCAGTGTTCTCCATGAGCTGTTTTACAGTGTTGCTCCCGACACAGTAAAATTTTCTCCGACACAGTAACGATTCAAATTTTATGCGTGCCACACAGTAAAAATATTGCCGACACAGTAAAGATCCGTGATAATTAGAAAATTAAAACATAAATTCTCTGTAATTGAAAGTTTAAACAAACAATTCTACCAAAAAGTAGAGCACTTAATTAGGGCGTCACTTTGCAAAATCAATTATATCTCTTACACACCCTCGCAGGACTTTATGTATGAAGGAAAAAATTAAAGAGAAATGATTTGTTTTCACACTTCCGTGTAACAGTTAATAAGTAGGTGCATTAAAAATACATTGTATTATTTTTAAAAAGTTGTAAGATGTCTTTTCCATAGAGTCAAGGCTGCAACACAGTAAATTTCCAAATGATGGAGAACCCTGATTAGGCATAAGCACAAGACTTGTAATTGGAAATTGCTGGAAAAAATATTAAAACAACAATATGCTTGGTTCAGGACACACTTTGTTTTAAATATATATTCCTCTAGCCACCTTTCAATGATATAAAATTAAAATATGAATTTATTCAAACAAACTCATTGTCAATGAATTTTAAAACGAAAGCGAGCTTTATCGTCAAATTATGTTAATATTCATTAAAAATATTATCTGTCTTCTAATTCTGAAAAAAAAATCGTTTACTTAAGAAAGTTATGAATTTAATTTTTCAAAGTAAATAATTATAAATCATAATAGGGGCGAATATTGTCGTTTTGATGAAAAAATAAACTCCTGTTTAATTGGTTTGTTTTGAGTTTCATGATATTTTGTATTAAGAGAGGTTTTGTAGTTATATTTTTAATTTTAATCACATTCTTCATAAAATGGTTATGTATAATAATCACAAAACTCATAAAAAATCAACACGCAATGAAAAGCTGAACGCTTTTAAAGACTGAATATTTTAACGTTATATAACTATCTTTAAAAATTAAATATTAGGTAAAAAGTGTATGCTTAGATAAGATTTAAATATGAGTTTGTTAACAAAATAGTAAGAAGTTACAGTGTTTTGCGAAAACCACAAAGAAATGCAAATAATTTAATCTTCCAATTAGCTTTAATAATATAAATGATATGGTTCAGAGTGATCAGTAAGTTTCATACTTGATTTGATCAAGAATACAATGGAAGAGAGGCCAATCCTTTTGTTGTTTTCAATTTAGTACTTAATCAATCATGTCCATTGTCTAATGACAAAATTTAAAAATTAATAAAACGTTCACGGTTTGTAGTTTTCTTCGATAATTTAAACAAGTTAGTTCACTGATCTTCTTATTAGACAAAACCTTTGTTGACAATTCAAATAATAGAATGACATTTATAAAACAGAACATTTTGAAAAATGAAAGCTATTAAATATGCTCCTAAAACCCCACATTTACCATGCTTTTAAATAACTTTTCTTCTAGGTCATTTCACAGATGAATGGGTTTAGGAAAGAACACTTTCTATCATTCCATTGGCCGTTTTTGAGTAGGTCAATACAATCCCTTGCGGCTGCTTTTCCGGGATAACCTATACTTGGCTCATCTGGATACCAGTTGGTGAAATTCATGGCCCCGGGCGCATTGTTCCACTGGTAATGACCTTCAATGACAAGGTCATTCCCACCCGTCCAAGCTACACATATATCATAGATATTTGATGGGCAAGTATCTAAAACAAACAAACAGAGTATGTATTTGAATCATTTATTGTAAGAGGTGTACTGAAAGGGTATTTAATGGAGAAATCTTATGTATTTTTTGGCCTAAATACGAGACTTTGTTTCGCATTCAATATAATTATATGCAAAAATTTTCACACAATTTTGACTTTGAAAAAAGTTATATATATTCCTCCACTGTATCTGAATATTATTATTCAGGTTACCATTCGAAAGACAAAATTATTAGAAATATCGTTCATTACTGAAAAAAAGTTTGTTTTTGTTATTTAAATAATAAATATATAAGGCGCGTAATTTCAGCAAACGAAGAAAGACATTTTATTGTTTATATTTACATCTGTATGAAAAAACATTCAATGTGAAATTTAATATATCAAATGTTGTATTATAGATGAATATTTCAATGTATCCATAACCGGACGGAACAGACATTTTCCAAGAAATTTATGCATGTAGCTTGCTTAGTGTCGTTTATGCACTGATAAATGGCAAGGGTCTAAAAAGAAATAAGAAATATCGGGAAACATATTCAGTGGATGTCAATATGTATTCTCAATAGCTGCTGAGAACGCTTCAAATTGGGTAACTAATGTATAAACCTATATCGATCGATGCTGTTCTTTGTTTTTGTATTTTTATACCCCCCGCTTGAAAAGCGGGAGGGTATATAGCAATCGTTAATTCCGTCCGTCTGTACGTCTGTCCGTCCGTCCGTCTGTTACGCTTTGGGGTACCCATCTCTTATCAGCAACTCCTCTCATACCACTGAATGAAATTTGAGGAAACTTTCACAGAATCTTTATTACATATTGTCATTGTGCACCTCCTATTTTACTTTTTGATCCGACACATATTTTGGTTTCACGGCCACAGCAAAACATGGACTTTGCCATTATAACTATATGGAGGCGGGGGGTATCATTTAGTGAGCTCATCGCTCACAGTTCCTCTAGTTTGTTTTTTGTATCTCTTTTGTCAAAAAGTAAATATCGAGTTGAGAAGGCACTATAATATGTAAAAAATAATGCACATGATTTCCCAGCTTGATGTTTAGAGGAAAAGAAGAATAGCATCATGGTTTCTATTGAATTACGATCATCTAAGACCCAACTTTGGACTATCAATATTCCAGGGGTTAATGATCATTTTATCAAAAAATCAATCTTCAATGGAATTTTCTTTTAGAATACATTAAATGCATGCTTTGCCCAGAAAGATTTTAAGATATGTGATTTTTCAAAGCATTGTACACAATGTATCAAACGAAATATTGAAGTTGGCGAGGGCTACAGAAACTCAATTCTAAAATGAAAATGAGCATAAAAATGAGTAATTGTGAGGCTTTTTTGCATAAAATTTATAAATGTACTAAATTAATGACCTCATTAATGGTACTTCTTCATATCATATTCTTTAATGATTTATCAAATTCTTCTACTCAACTCATCTAAAAGCAATTTCATCACTTTTTAAGAACATAAATTTTATAGGGCACAATGAAGAAAATATATATGATGCATTAATATTTTTCTCCCATCTTTTTTGCAAATTCTTCTAGTCATATTTGTATTTTTTCCTTATGTATATTAATATCCTTATAAAGGATATATTCAAATATGGTCATATGTAACTTTTGTACATATTTGGTTAATTTGTTTGGCATTACAATAAATGCTCATTTACAACAAACATTTTGTTTTGATATTTGCAAAAAACAGAGCAGAGTAGACTCATTCGTAGAAAAAATAAATTATTTGAGGAAGGTGGAAGACGATGGTATAATTTATATTAACCATTTAAAGTCCTTCTCAGATTTACTCTGCTTTTATCCTCTAACGTAATAACTTAAAGTTTAACATTTAATTATTTTTGAAAAATCGTATTTACAATGAAAATAAGTGAATGTGAATGAACTTTTTCATTTTACAAAACCTAGGACACTTTCAGAAATATACCTTAAAATTTTACTTTTCTCAACAGCTTTGAACATAGAAATAATGCTGATTGATGATTTGATTGGATTTTTTTGTATGGAATAAATATAGGAAGACAGCTCGTCTGAAATCAAAACTCTCTGTCAGAGTTACTTTACAATACAAGAAAAGAAAGTTACCCTTTAAGCTTTTTTTGCAAATGGTTTTTTATATAAAAATGTTCATTTAACTATAGCAGCCTCTCCTGTAGCTAATAAAATAAAGACAATTTCAATGCCGCCTTTTATCCTTTTGCCATATTTTTGATTCAGATACGGAATATACAGTAGTAAATTAATCGATAAAAGATCATACGTTGAATAGAGAAAACTTATTAGAACATTACTTTTGTCATATTATAGTTTGAAAAAGTAATGAAAAGAATTTTGAAGGCTAGACTTTTTTCTAACTGTAACTCAAACAATGAGACGTATTCTATTTCAGACAAATATTGGACAAAATAATTTGACAAAAACACAACAATGACATCGCTTTAGGAAACCTAAAAAAAGTCGTTTTAGACAACCTTCAACTCAAGTTAGGAAGGAAAGCGGGGACAGTTTTCTTGCTAAGACAGTAGAATTATAACAAACTTTGACATGCACTTTATCTATAAATACAGTGTATAATAAATCAAAACGCGATCAGAGATTTATGTTTGCATATTTGCAAGAACTTCGCTTTTTTACGGAAGTGCCAAGTAACATTTTTTAAAGTTGGTAATTCCAATTTTAATCTTGGCTTTTCCAACTTTAAAGTTGGTAATTCGAACTTTAATCTAGGCTTTTCCAAGTTTAAAATTGGTAATTACGACTATAATTTTGGCTTTTTCAACTTTAAAGTCGGTAATTCCAACTTTAATGTTGGCTTTTCTAACTTTAATGTCGGTAATTCCAATTCGGGGCTATGGGGAGTTATAATATTGTACTTTTACAATGGAAAATAAATATTTCAGATTGAAATAAATTGTTGAAATTTTTTATGTGTGTTTGTTTTACTTTTACCTTGACCCTCCTTATAATCTTACATAAATGTCCAACTTTTAATTAGAAATCTTTTATATTCCTTTTAGTCCTCTTGTGAAATTATATTCAGAATAACTTCATAAAAATTATGTACATAGAATTCCGTACATGACAGGTAACTTTTGCAAATTCCGCGGGACGAGGTATCCGACATCCAATCCCCTCTAGTTCTGTGCATACTGTATATATAAGGAACTTAATGAAATATTCCTTCTTTTGTCATTTTTCATAATTAAGTTTTATCTTTCGTTTGCAATCACTTGTATAATGAGTTTAGCAACAGAGTGTCTAAATATAATGTATGATGTAGTTTTAGTTGGAAAAGCCAAGGATTAAAGTTGGAAAAGCCAAGATTAAAATTGGAAAAGCCAAGATTAAAATTGGAAAAGCCAAGATTAAAATTGAAATTACCAACGTTAAAGTTGGAATTACCAAATTTAAAGTTGAAAAATCCAAGATCAAAGTTGAAAAGCCAAGATTAAAGATGAGATTACCTTTTGAAAAATATATTACATGGCACTAATACGCTTCCGTACATTTTTAATTGTCATATTAAAAAACCAATTTAAACAGGCAATAACATATTTTGGATAAAATACAACCATAGGCAGCTTTCATTAGGGTGATTTTATCGCATTAATTTAAAAGGTTACTTTTCCTCTCTTTTATTCATGAGATGGATGCATTGTGATTATATTAAGACTTGTAAATGTGCAAACTAACCTTTCAATAGAAAGGTCCCAGCAAGCCAGTCTGATTTGTCTTTACTCTCTATTTCTACAAGATGAGCATTCCTGGACTCACAAAACAACTGTAATTAATAAGTTTGCTTCATTTCTTTGTAAATGACTGAAAACCTAAATCACTATGTTCATTTGGAGTGAATATCTAAATAATCCAAAACAAATATATAACAAATGTGACATGAGATTATAATACAACTTTCCTCAAACTCGACAATACCCGGTATGTTTCTTTTTTTAGTAATCTGAGTCACTCAGGTGACCTATTGTTTTCTCGCATAATCACCAGTGTAAGATTGACTTGTCCGGTGTGTGACAGCAGTGTGATATTTTTCTATCTTACACTGTGTATTACTAAGCCGCGAATGACAGCGTAAACATGCCGTCTTTATAGAAATTGTAACAATGTTAAAAATATTACATATACTTAAAATGTTGTCATTTAACTTATTAAGATAAACTTATTTTTATTCAAAATATTGTCGTATTTTCACTTTTTAAATGGCACTATTTTTAGATCGCGGAAGAATTCTTCTTGAATGATTGTGTACGCTATCGGATAGATAAGTTTTTTTATTCCAAGTTTTTATTTATCTAATTAATTTACATGGACTAAACTTCATTTTATAAGTTTACACAAGGTGTAAACCATTTTCAGGTACACTCTCTCCGATGGTATATTTAGATTTCTAATTAGATGGAAAATTACAAGAATAAATTTTTTAGCCCTATCAGGGCGACGTCATTGACAGGCCTTTATTTTGGACAAAATAATGCGAGAAAAATAATCATTCATTACATACTCGTGTAGGAATAGTGAAATTCCACCGAGGGTCAAAATTCACTGTCTTGGGCTCGGCAAAGTCTCGTCTTAGACCGTAAATATTGTCCACTCGGTGGAATTTCACTATCCCACACTCGTAGTAATGAATGATTCTATTAATCTGTTTTCGTCCGTCGTCATCCGTCGTTCGTCGTCAATCGGGCGTAATCTTTTGAACATTTTCAGCTTCCTCTCTGGAACCGCTGAGCCAATTTCAACCAATCTTGGCAAATAACATCTATGGTTAAAGGGAAACAAAAACTGTTAAATTCATGGTCCCTAACCCCCTCCCACCCCCTCTGGTCTTGAGGGATGGGACCAAAACTACTATAGTGAACATGCATTAATTCTTTAAAAATCTTCTTCTCTGCTCCTGAGTATTAAATAAACTTCATACGTACATAGTTATACAAATTATGGACCATGCTTCCACAATTGTGAATTTCAAAGCCCCCGAGGGGTTGGCTCTGATTAAACTGAAAATGAATTAATTCTTTGAAATCTGCTCCATTATATTAATAAGATATTCATGATGAGTAATATGATCGTTTCCAAAATTGTGAAATGTGTATATCTAGGGTCGGGTTTTTTGGGTGGTTGGGGCTCCACTGACTAAAGCTGAATATTACATATTAGTTGAAATTCATTTTAATGTTCCCCAACTCTGTCTGTGGGTATTAAGTAGCCAACTTAAACATGCTAAGTGTTAAGTTATGATGAGCACCGGTGCCTCTTTCAAAATTATGAATGTCATGGCCTCTGGTTTTAAACATGAACAAAATTCAATTGTTGGAAAGTTGTTGCGTGATTGTTATAATTAAACCTTTTAGTATTATATACATTCAAATGATGTCAAACTTCACTGAATGTCATGGCAATCTTTTAAAAATTATGCGAAATTACGAAAAGATTTGAATTCATACATCGTACAAAATGACAAAAAGAATTTAATTCATATATTACTTTTGCATCAGTCCATGTGACTTTCGTCAGGTCATGCAAGTAGCAACCATTCATATACTTCACCCACTCCGATCCACAACCTGTTTTAATCACATTAAAAAATATCAATGTAAATTTAAGATTTAGAAATTATAACATAAGAAATCACATTAATTGAAAGACATTCAGAGATGTAATACATTGCTATTAAAGTCATGTGGTGAATAATGTAGGTAAATTATCTACAATGATAAGCAATGACGTTTGATAACTAGATTTTAATGATAAGGATGGGGCTGTTGTTGCATACTCTTTTATCCTGATAATGACCACAGCTATAATTATTAAAAACGGAACGCACCCAGTATTGAATTTTCGAAAGAGAGTCTAGTTTATTTGATCTAACAATTCATTATTTACACACTGACATTGACGGATTTTTCCGTTATTCCGTGATCATGACATGCTTCGCGTCTCGTTAGATCTGATGATCCGCGCCTGTCAACTCGACGTGATACGACCCTTCGGATCAAGTTACTGTTATAATAATATATATGTACTGTTTCAATGGATCTTTGATTTCCTATAATACCAAATTATCGGCAAAGTCCACTTTATGAGCGAGATGTCATAAATGATAACGTCAACGGTCCTGGGACCCAAGACGAACTTTAGTCTAAAATACACTTTAAACTTTCGAAATATATGAAAATGAGTGATAAAATTTAATTGAAAAAATAATCAGTAATTAGACCTCAAAAGTGAATTAAAATGATACATCTCCAGAGAAGAGCAAACATGAATCTCTTAAGACACAAATCATAGGATCAGATACAATGAAAGTTAAAGAAATAAATTTACATCATTTAAATGTTATTTTTAACAAACGACGTCATTTATACTTATAAAAATATTCAATGCTGTGCGGTTTTCAGATATTCCAATGGTTTACAACACATTCATACGTTTCTCCATCATAAATTAATTTTAAGGATAATTAGTCCCTCATTTGTATTTATGGGTATTTCATTACGTTATCATAAAATGTAAAATATCATAATTTTAAAAAGGGTTTCATACCTTTCTCTCCTTTCTGATAATAAACCAATCCTTCCTCAGGCTCTGTAATGACATTTTGTGGAGATTGCATGTGTAAGTAACATATTTTGTTTTTCACGTTGTAACCAAATGACATGCATTTGTCCCTACACATCGCTCCACATGTTAATCGAGATGCTGCAAACTCTTGAGAAATGAATTGGTTAATCTTAGTGTCTGTTTCGGATTGTGCTCTATAGAACTGCGAGAATGAAGTGTCTGTCTTAGTACAAAGATATGAAATTATAATCCATCCTTTGAGACTGATACGGATAGGAATGGAGGACATGTTGCTTGACCCGTTGTTTGAACGGCAATGGAATAAAAATTAAAAAAAAATATTTAAGGCGTTTTATGAATTCAATGATCCAGAACTTTGTTAAATTTTTCCAATGTCTGCTTAAGTGATAGCAGGACTGTAGATCCAGGTACAGAAATAAAGATTATAGTATATAGATCTAGTTCTCTATATCTACAGTACACAATACTATACATTTATCCAGTAACGATATCAAGTGAATTCGGGTCTCGTTGTCAACTGCCGATGTCAAAAAAATAAAATTATCTGCCGATTGAAATGTCGCCAAATTAGATAACCTGGTTTGGGTCAGTTTACGCTTTATAATCCGCGAAGCGGACAAATAAACAAATACATAAACAAATAAAACAAATAAACAACTGTGGGTGTAAAATTGTGCTGCTTTTTATGAGTTCAAATTTGCCGCTCAATAATACATCCCTAGTAACGGAAGTTATTTGAAACAAGGGGAGGTAATAACTGATACACAGTCTAAGCCATGATGTTTAAGGAATGACTCTAATTCTTGGCCAAATTATTCGATGATAACCTGGTTTGAGTCAGTTTACGCTTTATAATCCGTGTTCAAGGTCCATTTATTCCAAACTTGTAAACAAGAGTTAACCCGAATTTCACAGGTACATTTCGTGAAACGTAACAATGTATAATTGGTATTTTTTCAAATTTTCATTTGGAAAACCTTTCATCGTAAAGGGGAAAACCATAACTTAAACGCAATCAATACGTCACACCTATTTGGCTATGACAAAGAAATAATAAATGGTTCACTCAAATACTACATTATATTTCTGGGGTTATGCATATGTATATGTCGAAAATGGAATATTTGATTATAATCTTAAGAAGGATTGGACCATTTTTATTTAATTTACCTTGACAAGTCTTCAGGTGGTGCAGTATTTTGAGTAGAGTGTGTAGGAAAAGAATGGTGTAGCTAGATATATAAATGATTGTAATAAGTGAAATCAGAGAAAAAAATTGACAGATCAAATACTTCTTTGTAAAATTTCCCTGAAGTAAGTTAGTTTCTCAAAACAACAAATCTATTCTCATACTTTCATAAATGATGTCTTAATTTATTTCGTTCGTTTTTGATACAAATCGTTCAAAAATGTCTAATGCAGAGAACAATAAAACAGCGAAGTTATCAAATACAACTAAATTAAGGTCATTTTCAAATTAGCAATTATGATTTCTAATTCATTTCGCATATAAACGAGTTGAGGAATGAGCAGACCCTATCATTCCTTCGGCCTTCTTTGAGTATGTCTACACAGTCTCTCGATTCTTTTCTGCTGGATTAGTAACGCTCGGTTTACCTGGATACCAGTTGGTGTATTCCATGGCCAAGGGTGAGTCGTTCCACTGGTAGTGACCTTCGACGACAAGGTCATTTCCACCCGTCCAAGCTATACATTCTGTGAACATACCTTGTGGACGAGAACCTGAAAAAAAACTAATAAGAATGGTGACAAAAGCATTTAGAGCTATGGTAACATGCTTTATTGTAGCTTTATTTATTTTTTTTTCAGAAACAACAAAATACATATTTGTTCAGAAGCAAACATTTAAATATATTGAACGACACACTCACAAACAGACACACCCTTACATAGAGACACACACCTATAATTACACGTGGAAGGGGATGAAATAAATATCAGTCTTACATAAGTTTACAGTATAACATTAGTAGTTTAAAACTTCTATGCTAAATCATTACTTTGAAAAAGACATTTCCAATTTGACCATCTTTTTTCAAGTAGTTCCACATGATATAATTTTTTTCTATAACAAAATAATTGTTGAGGTACAATAATAAATCATTAAATAAAATGGTACACTTTTTATTGATGTTTGAAAGATATATTTCTGTACTAATACAGTAATAATATTCAAACCCACATCAAAGTCTGCAGAACACAGCATTATTTTGTATATTAAATTGAATTGTTTTACCCGATTTTAAACAAATCCAATCTTCTAAGGATGACCAGATTATCTTAACAAAATCACATTCAAAAAATAAGTGTTTTAGGTGTCTCAGGTTCCTGCGAGCACAGTCCACACTGTTGACTGTCAATATTTTTTTAAAAATACAAATATTTATTCACACCAAGTATTCTATGTAAAATTCTGTATTGAAATCAAAACAATTTTGTATCTTTTGTTAAATTTTTAAGATTAATATAAACTTGTTTCCAATTGAAATTATCTTGTAGTGATAAATCATTTGTCCATTTCTTTTCACATAAAGGTTTATGTTGCCCTTGAGACATAAACAAATCATATATTCTTCTAGATCCTTTTTTATCTTTAAATAAAATTGAATTGTTATAAAATCAAGCTGGACTGGTCTTGTTACTAAGGAAGGATCCAGATATTTTACTTCTGGCATTGCACATAATATAGCATGCTTGAGACCTTCATATATGGTAAGGTAATTTTTACATTAAAGTAATCTTTTATCTTTCATATGATATGAAAGTGTCCTGACTAATAAGCAGGTCAGCAATGATATGGAATCCTTTTCTATATAAAGATTTATAAAAAAAACTTTGATTTTGTATTTTTATTCTTTATTGTACCATAAGGGCTCTAATAGTATGTTATCCTGTTTTGCAGATGTACAAATGTTAATAAAATCTGTAAAATATAAAAGTATTTCTCTCCAAAAAGGATTGGAAATTAATTTGAATTATTGTTTAATTCAAGTTTAATGTAATCTGACCCAAACTGACACATCTGTATGACATTGCAACCAGTAATTTCTGTAAACAACACTGTCCTTTGCGTTGAGTTAGTAGAAAGTATTCTCCTAAACCAAGTAAGTTTAAGAGATTTTATAAAAATTTCAACATTAGTCATGCTGCATCCACCTTTTTCAAAATCTGACTGCAATGTTTGTCGACTAATTTTATCAGGTTTATCGCCCCAAATAAATTTAAAGAGTAATTTTCCAGCTTTTTAATCCACTGTACACTTGGTGTAAGCAAAACACTGAACAAGTGAGTAAGTTTTAATAGTAAAACACTTTTAACAACTGTTATTTTGCCCAATGGGGTAATATGTCTTTTAGACCACTGTGTTATTTCTTTTTGAATCCCAACTAATTTGCTATCAAAGTTCAGCTGTTCAATTTCTTTAAGATTTGCAGTGTAAGTGGTACCCAATATTGTAAATGATTGATTAGTCCAACTCAGATTTGTACAATCACACAGTGTTTCATTTGAACCAAGTTTTGAGCCAATCCAAATAGCTTTAGTTTTACTAATATAAGGCTTTAAACCAGAAAATTTTGAAAATTGAAAAAGTAGGTCAAGTGCTCCTTTTAGACTTTTTTCTGAGCCATCTAAGAACAGTACTGTATCGTCCGCATATTGGAGTAAACAAACTTTTTCCTTTCCTGTATTTATTTTTTTAATATTTTTGTTTTGTATTATCATTATACCCATAATTTCTACACAGAGATTAAATAAACGAGGGGATACAGGATCTCCTGGGCGGCAACCTCGTCCAAATAAAAAGAAATTAGAAAAAATGCCAATTTGTAAAACAGAAAGCCTAGCTTTGTTGTATAAAATCAATGCTAATTTTATTATATCTGGGCCAAAATTAATCAACTTTAAAGTCCTATGCATAAATCTCCATGAAACTGAATCAAATGCTTTTTCAAAATCAATAAGTAATATGA